AGATGAAGTATACCTGGCAGGTTGCTCGTGAAAGCATGCGGCTCTTCCCTCCTATATTTGGCTCTTTCAGGAAAGCCATTGCTGACATTGAATATGAAGGCTTCACCATTCCCATAGGATGGAAGGTACATATGTGTTCTGCTTTGACCACACTACAATTTTATGCAGGTTTATACTTACAGTGTTTGGACTAATTTTCAGTGGTTTATTTTATTCAGGTTTTGTGGACAACATATGGAACACATTACAATTCAGAATATTTTCAAGATCGTCTGAGTTTCAATCCAAGTCGGTTCGATAAGTCTGTTCCACCGTATGTGTTTCTTGCATTTGGTGGAGGGCCAAGAGTGTGTGCTGGGTACCAACTGGCCAAGTTGAATATCCTCATACTCGTGCATTTTGTTGTTACTCTTTATGATTGGTCTTTGCTATATCCTGATGAGCCTGTAACCATGGATCCCCTCCCATTCCCTTCCCATGGGATGCCTATCAAAATTACCCCAAAGTTATTTTGAAAAGCACAACAACCAAAAGTTCTTGCAGCTCATCACTTTATCCGTAACCAGGAAACTCACATAATCAAAGATTTATGCCCCCAAGTTAGCTTTTGATTGAATCAGTGTCTCATCCTACTAGATGTGAAGACTGTATTTCAATTCATATTCCAGACAAGTAATAACAAACAATAGGCTGACACGAACTTCGAATGCCTACAATGTATTATTGTTACATGTGAAAAAAAATTCATCAGTATGATAGTATGACAGTCATGGCATCAAAAATTGATTTGACTTTGAACCCAAGGTTCCTGAGAGCTACTATTATAGACATTAAACATGCGCGGAAGAGGGGGTGTAATTTGATTTGGAGAAATCATGCACACAGATTTACATTGAAAGAAGCTACCACAGATCCTAATCAAGAATCATCAGCTAATCTTTTCTAATATCTTTGGCAGAGGAGTCCTTCAAAATAACAACTCATTGGAAATTTGTTGCATGGTTGGTCGAGATTGTGGATTTGTTCTCAAGCATGCAAATGCAAGGTTTAGAACAGTGACCACCTTTTCAACAACATGATTTCCAGGAGGTGAGAGGCGGGGGTCCAAAACGTCCTTGAGTTGTATAGGTTGGGCTGTTGATGTTAACGAGAGTGACAAAAAATAGGAGATGAGATCTCCAGGATGCTTTCCCATGATCACTTCTAATGCTACCACTCCAAAACTATAAACATCACATTTCTCATTCGTTTCCATTGTGTATGCCAACTCTGCAAAACAAAGATGAATTCATGATGGGTAAAAGCCTATCCATCATATTTCTGAAACATGCAGCAGGCCATGTATTATAGACAGAAGACAAGCAGGAAATAAGTACCTGGAGCACTGTATCCAAATGTGCCTGCAAACGAAGTCCAATTCGAAGTGTCAGCCTTCAAGAGCTTAGCTGTACCAAAATCCGAGACATAAGCCCCATACTCTAAGTCCAGCAAGATGTTCTTGCTCGATATGTCTCGATGCAATATTGCAGGTGAACAATCATGATGCATATAAGATAATGCATTAGCCACATCTTTGACAACATTCACTCTCTCAATCCATCCAAACTTAATGGCATGGTTTTCGTCGGTCAATATGTTTTCCAGGCTTCCCCCTTCTATGAAATCGTAAACCAAAAGAGGGTGTTGTGGATGTGAACAAAAACCATAGAGCTTCAATATGTTGCGGTGACGAATTTCTGAAAGAGTACGAACCTCACTCTCAAAAGCCTTGAAATTTGCTACTCCACTATCTTGTACAATGTGAAGTTTCTTTACTGCAACAATCCGACCTGTTTGCAGTTCAGCTTTATAAACACTTGCATTCCCTCCCACTCCTACACAATATTTGGAGTTGAATTCCTCTGTAGCTTCAATGATGTCTTCATATTCCAATCTTCCATCATAGCTCCAAACTGCAAATTGGTTTTCATTTTGCGCTTCTTGCGAATAGCAACGCACCCAAAGAATCCCAAATACTACAAATGCAAAAAAGAGGATGGCTAAAACAAAGACTATGATGAATATAACTGATTTGCTGCCCTTTTTCCCTCCTCTTGTTTCAGGCGGGCAAGCGTTCAAACCAGTGGCGTTACCACACAGGCCTGTGTTATTCTCAAAAGCTACCGCTGAAGCCTCAAGGAATGCTTTGTTGTTGGGAAGAGGACCCTCCAAATGATTGAAGGATAGGTCAATAACTGTCAAGCTCAACATATTATCAAAGGTATATGGGACCAAACCAGAGAGCTCATTATGGGAGAGATTCAATGCTTCCAACTTTACCAATTGTCCAAGCTGTGGCGGTATTTCCCTCATCAGGGAATTTTGACTAAGATCAAGAACTTGAAGAGTTTGCATGCTTCCCATCTGAAGAGGAATGCTCTCACTGAATTTATTTTTGCTCAAATTCAAGTTCAGTAACTCTCTGCACCCATCTAATTGTTCCGGAATTGGTCCATTGAAATCATTGGCTGCTAAGTTAAGTTGTTGTAGATTGGTTAACATTCCAATTTCTGGTGGGACACTACCCGAAAGTTTATTATCACCCAGGTTAAGGTTGAACAAGGATGTCAACCTCCCTAGTTGCCTTGGGATTGTCCCAGTGAGATTATTCGAAGAGAGGTCAAGTATATGCAGCTGAATTGATCCCTCAAACTGAGGAACTCTTCCGGAAATTCTGTTGTTGCTGAGCTTCAAGCTTTGTAAGTTTTGACATTCTCCCCAGTTTTCAGAAAGTTCTCCATAGAATCTGTTATAACTGAGGTCGACATAAGCTAATTTCGGATAAATGCCAAACTCTTCATTTATGTTTCCTGTTAGCTGGTTTCTTTCAAGCCTTAATCTAACTAAGCTGTTGCAGTTTCTCAAGCTTGTAGGCATGAGGCCTGTCAACTGATTGTTATGTGCTGTAAACATTTCAAGTAATCCACCACTGCATAAATCTGGGGGAATATTACCAGACAAGTTGTTGCCACTCAACACCAGGTGCTTCAAAAATTTAAGATTGCTCAATTCTGAAGGAAGGGAGCCATTTAGTCTGTTATTTACCAACCCTAGGCGGGTAAGAAACTTAAGCTTTCCTACTTCATTTGGAATGGTTCCAGTTAACTGATTACCCATCAGGTACAACTCCTTCAGCTTAGTCAGGTTTCCTATACTGGAAGGAATTGAGCCAGAGAAATTGTTTTCCCCAAGATCTAGAACATTTAAGTTTGACAGGTTTCCAATTGATTCTGGAATTGAACCTGTGAGATTGTTTTTCTCTATATGAATCACACTGAGTGAATTCAGCATACATATTTCCAGAGGGATATTTCCAGAAAGTTCATTGTTATGAAGAGAAAGAATGGTTAAGTTTCCCAACAAACCAACTTCATGGGGAATGGACCCATTAAGGTTATTTTCAGAAAGATCAAGGATTTGAAGACTTTTCAGAAAACCTATTTCTGATGGGATTGTTCCAGAAATTGAGTTATGGCTCAAGTTAAGGCTTAGGAGACTGGGGAAAGACGAGAAACTGAATGAATGAAGTGTACCTCTTAAACCAGAACCAGTGAGGTTCACATGAGTGATGCTTCTAATATTGTTGCAACCAATCCCATCCCAATTGCAAGTGCTGTTTCCAACCCACGAAGACAAGAGAGACAGGCTTGTGTTGTCAAGGCTAGCCTTCCAATTCAGGAGAGCCTCTGCTTCCTGTTCTACAGCTGAAGCTGAAGGTGCTAAACAAGAAGAAACCAACATGAGAATAATAGCCATTAGGATGACTTGAAATGAATGCTGTGAAGCAGCAGCGTTAGCAGAAAGTGGTTTCTCTTTTTGGGATGCCATGGTTTTAAGCTGTGAATATGTCTTGGTTACTGCAAATCAGGAGATGGCACAAGAAACCTATCTGCCAAAAGTGGGTGGTTTGGCCTCGTGCAAGAGTGTGGTACTTAAATTTGGCTCAATATACTTGTACACAGTGCAGGCTCCATTAGAATATATATATATATATATATATACACACACACATACACACCTACACATAATATAAAGGCCCTCTTGTAGGCAAGGATATGATTGAAATTCTATCTTCATCAGTCATGGACTTTATTATTGTTTTATTACAAGTAAGGCATATATTTGATGGAAAATATTTGCCCTCCTTACTAGGTAAGTAAGTAGGATCCTATATTCCTGTTACTAGCAGTGTGACATATGTGCAAAAAAATTTCTTCTTGTATTTTTAATGAATTATTTTTATATTTGTGTCAAATTATAATTCGGAAAAAGAATGAGCATCGATAAAGAGGCAAGTAGTATCCATATTTGATTATTTAAACTTATAGTTAGCATAGGTTCATGCCTATGAATTCTGAGCCAAGTGTGAACATTAAACAGATCAAGTTTTCCTTGGAAGACCTAATTAGGTAGACGTCAAATCTTTTGGTGACTTTAAAAAATGCGTGTTTGGCATGTCAGTACAAACAGAGAAATCAAAGGCTCCGACTTTGAAAATAGATAGTTGAAGCCAGTAGATAAGGCAGCGCAGCCTCCCCATTGAGCCATTGCATTCAAATTTTACCCTTTTAGAATTTGTCAGTTGAGTTGACCTTTGACCTTTTGTCAAATTCTAGTACTCTACCCATATTCTTCTCTCTCTTTTTTTATCTTACAAGAAAAGTAAGCATTACTTGCACCATCCAAGCTCTTTCCAGAGTGTGAAAAGAGGATGCAGGTTCTTCCGTTTCTTTCTCCAATTGAAGTTTCAAGGTTCTTGAAAGTTGGAAGTTTGACTCTTCGCACATTCAACATGGACGAGTCCCAAACACCAAACTTTTTCAACCATCTATGTTTTCTTTTCCTTTTTCTTTATTTTCCCTTTCACGATGAAGCCAAAGCCAAATTGTGTTAAGATATTACCCAATTTACAGGGGTAAAGAAAAATAACATTTTTCTCTCATTGCTTTGAATTAAGATACGGTAAAACCATCAAAATAACTGACAGCTAAAAGATTTTTTTATTTCTGAATATATCAACAGTACCTAACTTCCTATAGACTTTGAAACAACTTTGGCCTTTCAAGTTCTTGAGATAAATTATGGTACAGTAAGACATGGTGAAATCAAGCTTGGTTAACCATTTGTCCCGAGGTAATTTTGTCAATTGTGAGTTGTAAAGATATCCTTGGAATTTATAGCTCCTGGGAGACTTGTTGCATGGTTGGCCGAGACTATGGTTTGTTTTGCAAGCTTCACAACAAGCACCAGTTTTTCTGCAACTTGATCTCTAGGAGGTGAAAGCCTTTGGTCCAGAACGTCCCTCAGCGGTGTATCCAGCGCAATTGGTGTTGTCGAGGAGAGAACGAAGATCACGAGATATCCTGGACTCCGAAGCTATAAACATCACATTTCTCATTCATTGCCATTGTATACGCAAACTCTGAAAACCCAAAAAGCAATGGGAGTGGCAATATTCATATTATTCAATGCATGAGGCTAACTATGAGACAAATTAATCTCTTATTTGATGACATAATATTCAAAGATGAAGCCCGCCGTATATATTAGGACCGTGACAAAGCTATACCAACTTGGAAATAACTACCTGGAGTAGTGTATCTAAATGTGCCTGCAAATGAAGTCCAATTGGAAGAGTCAGGCTTCAAGATTCTAGCTGTGCCAAAATCAGAGATGTAAGCAACATGCTCTAAATCCAGCAAGATGTTCTTGCTTGATATGTCTCGATGAACGATTGGAGGCAAGCAATCGTGGTGCATATAGGATAAAGCGTCAGCCACACTTTTGACAAGGTTTATACTTGCAGTCCATTCAAACATAGTTGCTTCTCTGTCATCCCTTAGTACCCTTTCTAAGCAACCTCCTTCTAGGAACTGGTAAACCAAGAATGAGTGGCGTTGATGTGCACAAAAACCATAGAGCTTCACAATGTTGCGATGGCGGATTTCTGAGAGTGCGCAAATCTCACTCTCGAAAGCCTTAGAATTGTTATTCCACCCTCCTGTAGCGTGTGAAGTTTCTTCACTGCAACAATCTGGCCTGTTTGCATCTGCGCTTTATAAACACTTACATGCCCCCCTCCTCCTACACAATGCTTAGAATTAAATTCCTCTGTAGCTTCAATGATGTCCTCATAAACCAATTTCCCATCACAGCTCGATATATCAAATAGATTTTCCGTTTGTGCTCCTCTTGACATTTCCTGTGATTCCCTTACAGTATGGTGATGGCGACGAATGGTGATGGCCGCAATCAAAATGATCTTATTTTTACTCTTTTTCCTATTTCTTCTTGTAGGAATGGTGATGGCATGCCTTCAGACCTGTGGCATTACCACACAATCCTTTGTTACTCTCTAAAACTTTGATTGGAGCCTCGTTGAAAGCTCTGATGTTGGGAAGATGACCCTACAATTGGTTGTAGGAGCCACGTGTCAAAACAAGTCTATTTTAAAAAATTAAAAAAATTAAAAAACACGGAGTATAGCCGTGCGGCTGTACTGTTACCGATTTGGCCAAAAACGTATAGCCGAGCGTTTAGTTTATACTTTATAGATATTAATTTGCTAGTTTCAACATATCCAAAATAGATATATTATTCTTATTCAATAATGTGTGAGAATTATTTGTATAATACATAAATTTTGTGTATCTTACTAAAAGTTTTGTAAAAAATACGTGTATAAAACATTAGAAATACGTATGTACATGTACAATACAACTATTGTAAGGTTATTTTTTTTTTTAAAAAGAAACGTGAGATGTGTATAGAACACGAATGTATTATTGAAAAATACATATGGATATATATATAAGACTATAGTCGTTCATCTATACTATCTATACTAGTATGGCCGCCTGGCTATACTATTTTTTTCCTTCAAAAAAAAAAGAAAATAATTGAGAATAGGCGGCTATACTATTTATTTACTATAAAATAAAATAAAATAAATAAAATAAAATAAAAAACAGAGCAGCCGTACTGTGCTCCCACGTGCAAAATAGTATAGCCGCTCGGCTATAAGTTTAAAAAAATTAAAAAAAGACTGAGTATAGCCGTTCGGCTATACTATTTTTAATATAAAAAACAGAGGACCCTAGAGATTACGCGCCACGTGTCAAAACAAGTCTATTTTTTTTATATAAAAAAACACGGCGTATAGCCGTGCGGCTGTACTTATTTTTTTAAAAAAAGAAGAGAGAACCCTCCATTGATTAGGCACCACGTGTCAAAAAAGTATAGCCGTTTGGCAATAGTTTTTAAAAAAATAAATCATAGTATCGCCGCACAGCTATCCTATTAAAGACAGTAAAAAAAAACCCAGTAACACCGCCCGGCTATACTATTTTTTTTAAAAATAGAAAATAATCGAATATAGCCGCTCGGGTATACGATTTACTAAATAAAAACAAAGTAGCCACAGAGCGACTAGGCGCCATGTGTGAAATAGTATAGCCGCGTGGAGATACGGTTTCGGAAAAAATTAAAAAAACTGGGTATAGCCGATATGTCAATAGCAGTCAGTGAAACATATTATCAAAAGTGGATGGGAATGAACCAGAGAGATTCAGTGCTTCTAATTTTTCCAGTCTGTGGTGGTATCTCTCCTCTGAGTAAATTGTTGTTAAAATCTAGAAAATATGGAGAGAATAACATAATGTTTTTCTGGTTTCTTAAAATATGGAGAGAATAACATAACAGCTATCTAGCTAACAATTATGACTAAGATCAAGAACCTGAAGATATTCTACGTTGCTAATCTCAGAACGAAGACTCTCATTCAATCCATTTGTGCTGAAATTCAAGTTCAATAACTTTAAGCAGCCATATAATTGCTTGGGAATGTATCCACTGAGATTGTTTGCTGCCAAGTTAAGTTGCTCTAGATTGGACAGTCTTCCAATTTCCAATGGAACACTGCCTGAAAGTTTATTACCACCCAGGTTAAGGTCGAACAGTGACACTAGCCTCCCCAATTCCTTTGGGATAGTTCCAATTAGCTGAAGCGACTCCCCAAGCTAAGAAGGTATTCCTCCGGAAATTCTGTTGTTGGAGATTTTCAAGCTTTGTAGACGTTGGCACTGCCCCCACTTCTGATAAAATTCCCCATAGAAATTGTTATAGCTCAAATCAATGTAGTTCAAGTGTGGATAAATTCCAAGGTCTTCGGAAATGTTTCCTGATGACTGGTTTTTGTCAAGCCTCACCCTGTATGAAGTGGCACAATTTCTGAAGCTTTTCGGAATGGAGCCAATGAAATAATTCTCATGTGCTGTAAAATTTACGAGTAACCCACCAGTGCAAATGTCTTGGGGAATATAGCATGACAAAATGTTGCTAGACACCCCTAAATTTTGCAAAGTTGTAAGATTCTTGAATTCTCCAGGAATGGAGCCATTGAGATTGTTTACAAACAATCCTAGTTTGAATAGCAGTTTGAGCTTTCCTATTTCTGGTGGGATGGGGCCACTCAATTGGTTTTGCTGCACATCTAATAAGGTGTGCTTGGTCAAGTTTATTAAAGTTGGAGAGATTGATCCATAGAAATTATTCTCAAAAATTGCTAAAATAGTTAAGTTGCCGAGGTTTCCTATGGATGCAGGAATTGGGCCCGTTAGGTTGTTAAATTGCAAGTGGAGCTGGTTCAGAGATTGGAGATTAATTTCCTACTTCTTGTGGGACAGTTCCAGTAAGTTCATTTTTGAACAGGTATACTAAGGACAAGTTGCTCATGTTCCAAATGGATGCTGGGATTGGACCTGTGAGGCTGTTTTTACTCAAATCCAGCTCTTTGAGTGAGCTGAGTGATCCTATTTCTTCAGGAATGGATCCGTTTATGGCATTATCATCGAGACGAAGTATGTGAAGACTTGTCATGAGGCCTATCTCAGATGGGATTCTTCCAAAGAGTTGATTTGCAGACAAATCAAAGTAGATGAGCTTAGAAAGGTCGGCCAAGCTGGAGGGAATGTTGCCATAGAAAGAGTTGTGGAAGAGATCAAGGCTTAGGAGAGAAGGGAAAGATGAAAAGCCAAAAGCATGGAGAGTACCTCTTAAACCAATGCGACTAAGGCTAATATTAACAACGCTTCTGAATTCATTGCAAGCAATTCCAGTCCAGTCTATATAAAAACATCTCGACACATGTGCAGTACAGAAGTGATGAAGCAAAATATGTTACTTGCAGTGCCTTATTACTCTCTCTCAGTTTCTTGTCTGGCAATGTACTTGGATACCTGGCTGAAGAGATGGTATTATAGCATGAGCTTTGCCTCTTTTTTTTTTTTTTAAACCAATAGTACATCAAATTTAGGTGCCTAAATTAACTCATTTGTTTACTTAATAAACTTCAATAAGAATAATATATTCGATTTCGTAGCACAAGGGATGTTCATTTACGGATGAAATTATTGAACCTCAAATGAGCCATCCGTGTGATGACAAGTATACACATTCTTATGGAACTTTAGACATTTTCTTGAAAGTACTTATCTATCAATATCAGTATATTTGTACATATTTGCCCCGTCAATATCTCCTCTTAACCATACTTAAGTACAACACATGAGGTTTGAAAAATTTACTTAAGGCATTCATACTATGATCATATCTACTGCCAAATTGTGTTAAGATATTACTCGATTTACCGGGGGGAGAAAGATAACATTTTTCTCTCATTGCTTTGAATTAAGAAATGGGAAAACCATCAAAATCACTCAGACAACTAAAAGATTTTTTCATTTTATTTTTTATTTCTGAACATATCAACAATACCAAATTTAATCCCAATAGATTTTTTATTATGCCATAACAACTTTGGCCTTTCAAGCATGGTTAACCAGCTGTTCCAAGGCAACTTTGTCAAGTGTGAATGGTAAAGGTACCTTTGGAATTGATAGCTCCTGGGAAACCTGTTGCATGGTTGGCCGACATTGTGGTTTGGTTTGCAAGCATGAAAACGCAAGCTTCACAACAAACATCACTTTCTCTGCAACTTGATCTTTAGGAGGTGAAAGCCTTTGGTCCAGAACATCCCTCAGCGGTGTATCAAGCGCAGTCGATGTTGTCGAGGAGAGAACGGAGATCAGGAGATCTCCTGGATGCTTTCCCATGATCACTTCTAAAGCTAACACTCCAAAGCTATAAACATCACATTTCTCATTCACTTCCATTGTATATGCAAACTCTGCAAACCCAAAAACCAATTTAATATCATGAGAATGGCAATATTCATATTATTCAATGCATGAAGTTAACTATGAGACAAATTCATCTCTTATTTGCTGACATAATATTCAAAGATGAAGCCAGCCAGCCACACACACACACACACACGTGTGTGTGTGTGTGTGTGTGTATATATATATTTGCTTTGTTAGTAATATGGACAGTGACAAAGCTACACATACTGGAAATAACTACCTGGAGCAGTGTATCCAAATGTGCCTGCAAATGAAGTCCAGTTGGAAGAGTCGGGCTTCAAGATTCTAGCTGTGCCAAAATCAGAGATGTAAGCAACAAGCTCTAAATCCAGCAAGATATTCTTGCTTGATATGTCTCGATGAACGATTGGAGGCAAGCAATCATGGTGCATATAGGATAAAGCGTCAGCCACACTTTTGACAAGGTTTATCCTTGCAGTCCATTCAAACATAGTCGCTTCTCTGTCATTCCTTAGTACCCCTTCTAAGCTACCTCCTTCTAGGAACTGGTAAACCAAGAATGAGTGGCATCGATGTGCACAAAAACCATAGAGCTTCACAATGTTGCGATGGCGGATTTCTGAGAGTGCACGAATCTCACCCTCGAAAGCCTTTATATTTGCTATTCCACCATCCTGTAGTGTGTGAAGTTTCTTCACTGCAACAATCTGGCCTGTTTGTAGCATTGCTTTATAAACACTTGCATGCCCCCCTGCTCCTACACAATGCTTAGAATCAAATTCCTCTGTAGCATCAATTATGTCCTCATATACCAGTTTCCCATCATAGCTCCATATATCAAATAGATCTTCAGTTTGTGCTCCCCTTGGCATTTCATGCGCTTCTCTTACAGTCTGGTGACGACGAATGTAGAGAAACCCAACCACAATGAACCCAAGAAACAGAGTTCCTAAAATGAGGGCTGCAATCAAAATGATGTTTTTATTCTTTTTCCTGTTTCTTATTGTATATTGGCATGCCTTCAGACCTGTGGCATTTCCACACAAGCCTTTGTTACTCTCTAAAGCTTCGATTGGAGCCTCGTTGAAGGCTTTGATATTGGGAAGAGGACCCTCCAATTGGTTGTAGGATATGTCAATAGCAGTCAGGTGCAACATATTATCAAAAGTGGATGGGAAGGAGCCAGAGAGCTCATTGTGAGAGAGATTCAGTGCTTCTAAGTTTTCCAATTCTCCAAACTGTGGTGGTATCTCTCCTCTCAGTAAATTATGACTAAGATCAAGAACCTGAAGAGATTCTAAGCTGCCAATCTCTCTCATTCAATCCATTTGTGCTCAAATTCAAGTTCAATAACTTTAAACACCCATATAATTGCTTGGGAATGTATCCACTGAGATTGTTTGCTGCCAAGTTAAGTTGCTCTAGATTGGATAGTCTTCCAATTTCCAATGGAACACTGTCTGAAAGTTTATTTCCACCCAGGTTAAGGTCGAACAGTGACGCTAACCTCCCCAATTCCTTTGGGATAGCCCCAACTAGATAATTCGAGGAGAGGTCAAGTACTCGTAGCTGAAGCGACTCACCAAGTTGGGGAGGTATTCTTCCGGAAATTCTGTTGTTGGAGATTTTCAAGCTTTGTAGACTTTGGCACAGACCCCACTTCTGAGAAAGTTCCCCATAGAAATTATTATAGCTCAAATCAATGTAGTTTAAGTGTGGATAAACACCAAGGTCTTCGGATATGTTTCCTGACAACTGGTTTCTGTCAAGCCTCACTCTGTATAAACTGGAGCAGTTTCTGAAGCTTTTCGGAATGGAGCCAATGAAATAATTGTCATTTGCTGTAAAATTTACAAGTAATCCACCAGTGCAAATGTCTTGAGGAAGATAGCCTGACAACATGTTGCTAGACACCCCTAAATTTTGCAAATTTGTAAGATTCTTGAATTCTCCAGGAATGGAGCCATTGAGATTGTTTACAAACAATCCTAGTTTGAATAGCAGTTTGAGCTTTCCTATTTCTGGTGGGATGGGGCCACTCAATTGGTTTTGCTGCACATCTAATAAGGTGAGCTTGGTCAAGTTTCCTAAAGTTGTAGGGATGGATCCATAGAAATTATTCTCAAGAAGTGCTAAAATAGCTAAGTTGACAAGGTTTCCTATGGATGCAGGAATTGGGCCAGTTAGGTTGTTAAATTGCAAGTGGAGCTGGTTTAGAGATATGAGATTTCCTACTTCTTGTGGCACAGTTCCAGTAAGTTCATTTTTGAAGAGATATAGTAAGGACAACTTGCCCATATTCCAAATGGAGGCTGGAATTGGACCTGTGAGGCTGTTTCCACTCAATCCCAGCACTTTGAGTGAGCTGAGTGATCCCATTTCTTCAGGAATGGATCCATTTATGGCATTATCATCTAGATAAAGCTCGTGAAGACTTGTCATAAGGCCTATCTCAGATGGGATTCTGCCAAAGAGTTGATTAAAAGACAAATCAAGGTAGATGAGCTTAGAAAGGTTGCCCAAACTGGAGGGAATGCTACCATAGAAAGAGTTTTGGTAGAGATTAAGGCTTAGGAGAGAAGGGAAAGATGAAAAGCCAAAAGCATAGAGAGTACCTCTTAATCCAATGCTGCTAAGGCTAATATTAGTGATGCTTCTGAATTCATTGCAAGCAATTCCAGTCCAGTTGCAAGGACTTTTTCCTAACCATGAAGACATGAGAGATTGGTTTTGGTTGTCAAGGCTATCCCTCCATTTTAGAAGAGCCTTTGCTTCTTGTCCTTCTGGTGATCTTGATGATGGAGCTGTAAAAGATGCAGAAGTGGCTACTTTGAAGGAAGAAACCGAAACAAGGGTCACGACGACAAGCATGAACAAATATATCTGTTTTTCTACTGGAGACACCATGGTTTTAAGCTCTAAGACTCTGTTTTGTTATTTCATACAGCTCAAAGATGGATAGACTTATTAGACTATGAATAGCATTGTGCTAATTAGGGATAAACCTTCAACATCTCCAATTCATAGAGTTGGACCGACACTATCATGTGCCACTCCCCCGGCGACTCCTATCATGGCTGCTGTTGTTACCTTCTTTTATATTTTGGTGTGGGAAAATCATGCCTGTGGGGAGAGAGGGATGGAAGTGGCGATGCCAGTCTATATAAAAAACCTCTCGACCCATGTGCAGCTCCACCATTTTTGTTCTTACTAAATTACACGATACAGAAGTGATGAAGCAAAATATACTACTTGAAGTGCATCATAACTCAGAGTTTCTGGTCTGGCAATGTATAGATGTTAGGGAACCAGCTTCAGTCTAGACACTTGGATACCCGGCTGACAAGATGGTATGGCATGAGCTTTGCCTTGTTTTTTATTTTTATTTTAATTCTGTTTTTGTTTTTGGTTTTTTTTAAAAACCAATAGTACTCAATTTTAGGTGGCTAAATTAACCCATTTGTGTTTACTATAAACTTCAATGAGTGTTTGATATAAAATAAAATAAATAAAAACTTCAACGAGTATAATATATTCGATTTCATAATCAAAAGGGTCTTTAATTTAGGGAGTTTCACTAAAACACCCAAAATGGAGGTTGAAATTATAAAAAAACCCAACACCCAAAACACTTTATAAACTCACCCAAAACCCATCATTACACACACTCAAAACCCATTTATAAACACACCCAAAAAGTTGACTTTGGGGTTG